AAAGCTCTTGAGCCGTGCAACGGGCTGGGCCTTGGTTGCCACAGAGGGAACCTGACGTGCACACGCTAGTCCCTGCTGCAGCAGGCGAAGGGTTCCAGCGTCACCTTCGTCACCTTCGCGGCTATCTTGATTTCCGTACAGAGAAAAAACGGGGAGGCCTGGCTAGGCGGAGTCAAAGGCGGGACAGCGGGTCACTCCAACTTCCTGGGGCATCAGTTGCTATGGAAGCCATTGCATTCACTACTGACAACCAGCCAGCTTGTTGACAGTCTAAGGCGTGTGTGAGGCCTTCTAGAAAGTGTGCAAATCGACAAGTACCTGAATGGAAGAAAATATCTGCTAAGAATTCATTACTAATCCTGCAATCCAATGTGGTGAGTATGGGAATTGAGGTCCACAGCCCTGATTGGTGGCTCTGTTGGTTGGGCCTTGACCTGCAAAGCGAAAGGTTGCTCTTTGGATTTAGGGTGGAGCACATGCCTAGGTTGTGGGTTCCGTCCAATCGGAGCACGTACTAGAGGCAACTGATCCATGTTTCTCTCCCTTCCCTCCCTCCCTTCCCCACTCTCTCTAAAAATAGAAAGAAGAAGGAGAGAAGAAAAGGAAGGGAGGGAGGGAGGAAGGGAGGGAGGTGCTGACAGTTCCAAGAACCTGCAGTTTTTAAAAGCATCTCAAATGTGTACGGTTGACCTTTGAAGAAGGGGTGGGATGCGGTTAGGGGCGCTAACCTCACGCAACAGTGGAAAATCTGTAACGCTAGTAATTCGGAGGATCAGTGGAGAGACATTGTCCTAATCCCTCCCTTACCCCTGTTCCTTTACCAAGGCTTTTCCTGGAGCTAAGGGTGCCCAGAGCAGCTTCCAGAGCAGGTAGATGTCTATGGGGTGAGACCTACCTATGTTCCAGTCTGACCCCGCTCCTTAAGAGTGTGGTGATACTTAGCAAGCTACATAACTAGGCCTGTGAATCCAATTTCCTTATCTGTAAAATGTTTTTGTGATGACCACATAGGCTAACACATATAAAAACACTGCCTACTATAAATACACTTATAGTAGGTGCTCACTGAGTTTTGTTTCTCAACTCACAAATCTGGTCATGGGCAGTGTCAGTGTGGAAATTGTATCACATTACTGGCAGGAAGAAAGTGGCGTTTTCGAATTGGGTAATTTGAGGAGTGTTTCATAAAGGCACTATTTGCAAAGGCATGGGTAAGGTTGAAAAAAAAAGGTTTGGTGCAGAAACTTGGGTCCCAAGGTTAAAGAGGAGAGGGCTGCCTGGCAGGTGCTGTAGCATTTATAGAGGGAGGCAGGCACCCGTGGGGAGGTGGCAGAAGTAGTGAGAACAAAAACCTTGATCTTATTCTCCTCTTGCCCTCGCATTGTCTTGTAAGTTTTTGTAACAGCCACTTATTTTCTTTGGCTGGACATAACCATGCAGCTCAGCCCACTAGAGTGTAGAGCAGGGTGGAGAAGGGTAGGTGGAGAACATGGAAAAGGCCCCACAAATGGAGACTCAATGCATATTTTATAAAGTGAACAAAAAGATACCAGAAGTGACCCCCGTCTCAGAATTCCATCAGCTTTTCCCATTTCACTTGCTAAAGTAACAGCTGCAACATTTTTTTTTTATCCTCACCTGAGGACATGCTTATTGACTTTAAAGAGAAAGGAAGGGAAGGGGAGAGGGGGGAAAGAAACATCCATGTGAGAGAGAAACATTGATTGGTTGTCTCTCATGTGCGTTGAGACACACTAGCCAGAGTGGAAACCTATGTAATCTTATTTACCAATGTCACCCCAATAAATCCATTAAAACAATTTCATACTCAGGTTTCAGAAAGTTAGGGTGAAAATTGACTTCTCCCTCCCCCTCCCCTGATGCCCAGGTTGCTGTGAAGAGGCACAGAAATGAGTCCCAGGGGTCCCAGGTACATGAGGGGAAAGCAGTTAAGGAGGAGGCCTGGGCTGGGCCATTCAAGAGTTCCCTCCTCTAGGGAATTCTGCACTTAGACC